TATAATTTTTGATGTTATTGTTTATGATATTCTTTAAAAGTTTAATTTCAGTTAGTTGTTCACTCATAGGTAGAAATACCTGATTTTTGTATATTTACCTTGCAGCCTTGCTCTCCTGTAGATTCTATCCTGCAACGTTGCTGAACGTATTAGTTCTAATAGCTTTGTTGTAGATCCCGTAGGATTTTCTATACAAGTGCTTCATTGCAGATAAAGACCGTTTTATCCATCCTGTATTTTTCCGTAGTCTGAATGTGTGTTTCGTTTCTTTTTCTGGCCACATTACAGTGCCCGGAACCTTCAGTACCATCTCAGATAGAGGGGTGACAGCCGGCATCTTTGCATTTTCCCCAATTGTGCAATGAGACCACCCTGGCTTTCATCACTAGCTATGACGTTACCTGTGTGGTTTTCACAGGCTCATCTATCAGGGTGAAGGAGCTCTCTAGTTCACCGAGTGCGGGTAGCAGGATTGATGTTGGGTATTGACTGATGTTCCTACTGCATCAGTTCAGATGAGCATATGGTTTTTCTTTCTTAGCCTGAGAGTATGATAAATTATGTCGATTTTCAAATGGTAAACCACCCTGGCGTTTCTGGGATAATACTTGGCCATGATGTATTGTCCTTTCTATGTGTTGATGGATTCAATTTGCTAAAATTTGTTAATAATTTGTATATTCCTATTCTTAAGGGGATATTGGTCTGCAATTTTATTGTAATAATTCTGCTTGGCTTGGGGATTGCATTTCATTAATTTTCTGTATGAGTTTGTGTAGAATTGATAGATCTGTCTTATATGTTTGGTAGAATTCAATAGTGAAGGTTTTGTGCCTGGAGTTTTCTCTGTGGGAAGTTTTTACAATACAAATCCCACTTCATTATTAGATAGAGGGCTCTTTGGGTTATCTTTTTCTTGAGATAATTTGTGTCTTTCAAGGAATTTTCTTCTATTTTGTCCAAGTTTTAAAATTTATTGGTATAAAGTTCATAACACCCCCTTATTATCTTTTTAGTTAGTATGTTGAGCCTTCAGGTTTTTTCTTTTCTTTTTCTTATCTATTTGGCTGGAGACTTTAAATTTCTCAAAGAAGTAGCCTCTGGCCTCATTGATTTTCTTGACTTTTCTGCTTTCTATTCTATTGATTTTACTCAGATCTTTTGTAATTTTCTTTCATCTGCTTACTTTGTGTTTCATTGGCTCCTCTTTTTTCATTTTCTTCAGGTAGAAGCTGAGGTCATTGACTTTAAATCACTTTTCTTTTTTGATATAGGCATTAGTGTTATAAATTTCCCTGTAAATAGTGCTGTGGCTGCAACTTAGAACATTTTGAATGTTTTGTTTTTATTTTTATTTAATTTAAAACTTTCTGGTTTCTTGTTTTGTTTCTTCTTTGACCCATGGATTATTTAGAAGTGGGTTGTTTAGTTCCCAGATATTTGAGGAGTTTCGAGATACATCTCTCTTATTGATGTTTGTTTCAATTTTGTGAGAGAACATTCCCACCCCCACTCCCCCCCCCCAGCTTTACTGAGATGTAATCGACATACACTATAACATTGTGATACTTTGACCCAAGTATTTATAGGGACATGGTTACCATGATAAGGCTAGTGAACACCTCCACCATCTCCCATAATTCCTTTGTCTTACTTCCCACCTGTGTCTGGGTCTCCCCCTTCTCTGCTACAGCCCTGGTGACCAGCATAGCCCCCTTAGAAGGGTCTTCAAAATGCTCCTCTGGCCGGGTAGCAGGTCCAAGGCTTTGGATCCTCTCTGGCTTTCTGTGTGTCATTTGTGAGCAGCCTGATGTATTTGACATGAGTGTGACAGCCAAGACACGTGAGCAGAGCCATGTGCAGAGGGCCAGCTGTGTGGGTTTATCTGTACCCCAGGCCGAGGGGCCAGACCTGAAGGTCAAATACGATCGTCGTCCGCCTCCATCCCCGAGTGCGTTTTGGTGTCTTATGCGTTTGCCAGCTGCCTGGTGTTTGACCCAGAGGAGTGGCCACAGCTGTGTTTTCTCCCCTCTTCACTCTGTGCCTGTGATGACTCGCTCCCCCACTCCAAATACTTCACTGCGTATTGGAAAAGTATACACTCTCTAAAATTAAGCCCCAAATCACATCGTCTTCATCTTTACATTGAATTGCAGGATAAGAATTAATGGGTAATACATTCGAGTTGATATTAGGACAGCTGCTGACTGGGCAACAGGTTTGCCCAGTTCAAAATCAAAGCAATGCAAAATGGAACACTTTGAATGCTCTTGCTCCACCTGTCGCCTTTTGTCATTTCTTGCCTCCCCACCTACAGGTCGTCACTGGAATAGTTTGTCACTGCCCTTCATGTTTCAGGACTGCAGACACAAGCAGGTGTTTCGTCCCTGCCTCTTACTTCCCAATAAATCCCAGAGAGCTTTTCAAAATATTCTTCTATAAAAAGGGCTGGTAAAGATTCATAGGAGAACGTAGCCTTTCCCGAGCTTGATGTCTACATTGAAATACAGATTTTGATGCAATCCGTGATGGAGAACAGAAATGTGCAAGTAAAATCATGGAAACATCATTAGTTCTTTCTATGTCCCAAACGATGGCAAATGTTGAAAACAGATGAGCCACTTAACCAGTGATTTACCTAAACAAATCGTTGGCGTTAGTAGTACAGGTCCTCACAAAGGAAAACTGTTCATAGTTTAACTGGTAAGCCGGTGTTATTATAGAGCAGAAAATACCTATAGTCCAAACAGAAAGTTTCACTCAACAAACAGACTGGAACATTGTAGTAAAGTGTACTGTTTCATCTCTATTAGGTCAACTGGTGCTATATTCCTACTCCCTTCATTTGTTCTTTATTCGCTGCGGATAATTACATAAAAGGCCCGGCAGGAATTAGAGTTCGCCCCGAGGTTACTCTGGGCTGCCCTGCCCGGGTGGGGAGGAGGATGCCCAGGGCTCCCCTGTCCGGTGAGCAGGCTGTCCACTGCGTCATGACTCAGCTCGTGGGGTCCGGTCTGTGTCCACCAAGCTGCGGGCCCTGACCCAGAGTGAGGTGCACCACTTCCTCCTTCTTATCAAGGAGCTGACAGTCTGGGTGTGCATTTCATCACAGTTTCAGTCAAAATCAGTCCTTTCTGCCATTTCCGGTCTTCTTTGTTTAGAAAATTTCTATGATGTATAGATGATTCCTATGTGTATGTGCATCTGTGTAATAAACACACATATGCCATTTATATATCATGTACACACACGCACACACCATATGTGTTTGAATATAAGCCCGGATATTCTTTGAACAATAACCCCCTGGAAGGAGGGCGTCACCTCACAGGTATTTGATTCCTTAGAAAGTACTTTATCACCTGGGGTCCTTCCCTACTCTGTGTGAGCCGCTCGGTGCCGTAGGCTTGCCCGCCACCCAAAGGCAGGGCGTCCCTCTGAACCCTCTGTAAACTGCAGTGGTGCAAAGTAAGGAAGTAATTATAGTAACTTATATGGAAACACTTTCGAGCACTCCCAGAACCCCCAAATAATCCACCGAATCGTACCAAATAACCCATAAAACCTGAGGTAGCCCAAGTGCATAGAAGTCAAAGGAGGAATGATACGGTAACTATACAGCCTGTATACAGTAGGAATAATGTCAGTGCAGTCTAGTTTCACTTATTGAAAAGACTGACTTCTCCTTCAGTGTAAGGTAACAACACCACACTGTGCACGCCCATCCATCCACTCAAGCAATGAATGGACTTTGTATTTTATCCATTATTAGATGCCGACTGAAAGAGACCACTTTGCTACTAGTAGAACCATTAGTACCTTCAGCAGCTTTCAAGATTCTTGTTCTGTGCATGTAAATAGTACAGTGGTGAATGCAGGCAAGTTCAATGCACACTCAGTGTCATTACTTTGTTCACCACAATGAAAACGCTAACTCCGTTCAGTTCTATGTTAAGTGTAATACCCTTACGAGTGGTCTTAGGCTTCTCTGATACCCGGGGCACATCTTGCTAACAGAGGCACAGAGTAACTCGAGATAAAGCCAGGATGCTCACAGGTAGTTCAAGGTTGAGGTGGCTGGATGCTGAGATGCTAGGTGTGGTCCCCGGGGAAGGAGCCTGTTGGGGGGGGGGGACCTCTCCCTGTGGGGGACCGCTACCTCCATAACAGCTCACTGCGGAGCAGGTGCTGAACAGTAGTTTCCTTTTCTTTTGGAAAGACAAAAACACAGTTTGGGTTTGTTTTGACTGGCAAAAACAGGTGCTATTGTAACAGGTCTTTGTAGACGTCAAGTGTCGCAAAGCGAACTTTTGGAAAGTGGGGGAAACCTGTATTTGGGAAGACACTGAAATGGCTTCAGACAGTGCAGGTCGTTGCTGCTTAAAAAGATTTCTTCGTAAAATGGGAAGAGAAAAGAAGTAAAGGTGCTTAACACAGATTCTTCTAGAGGTGAAAGATCACTTTTAAAAAGTAATTGTGTCAGTGGATATGATAGCCAATAAAATCTACAGGATGAATAAATATTCCAAATGCCCCCTTGTTATACGCACGGGCACTTGGAGCTTGGCTCGGTGTCTCTGGGGGTGGTGTCATGGGGAAGCGTTCGGACACCGCTGGGGCTCCAGCGGATTCTGCAGACATGGAGATTTGCTCTGGAAACTCTACCGGGTGACTCGAAAGGAGACTCTCTATGAAAAGGCCCCCGATGTTGAAGATACACTTCAGGAGTTAGTTAAATTGTTTCATGAAATGTGACAATGAATAAAATAATTATTTCCAAATTAATGCTTTAGACAATGTGTAATGTAAGTGTATGTCATGAAGTTACTACAGTTTGTAATTGGCATTCAACTAGTTTCTATCTAAAAGTGTAGACATTCAAGTTGGCTAAAATTTTTCTTATTTTGGTACTCTCTCTCTTATTGGACAAATAAGGGGTTGTCTTATATTTTGGGCCACTTTATAGTCAGTCACCTATAATGATTATTATTTTTATACAGAAACTGAGGCTTCTTGAAGAGCTTGAAGACACTTGGCTTCCTTATCTGACCCCCAAAGATGATGAATTCTATCAGCAGGTAAGGCCTTTTGATTCCTTTATCAATTTGTAGTGGCTTGTTCTGATCCACCTAAGTTTACCTGCGAAGCACCTGCCGTCTGGAGAGGTTGAATGAGAAGCAACAGGGTCTGATTCGGCCGTCTCGTGACTCCTCACCCACAGAAGACATGCCTGACTTTGCAATCAGCTGTCCACTGTGACTTCCATCCACAGGGGTCCATGGTTTTCCCCTCTTCCTTGCCTCTGCTCATGCTCTTTCTTCCACATCAAATGTCCATTTGCCAGATGGCTAATTCTTCAAGGTTTCTCGCAGACATTGCCTCCTTTGTGAGAGTTGCCTCGACTGACCGTCCCTACACGCAGGCTGGACTGCTCTGTCCTCCGTGCTGCTTGTCCCCCATCAACACCTCTGTGGTCCCCATCACACGGTGTTGCAGTTGTGGGGTTCTGCGTCTCTTTCCTGGATTAGTTGGAATTCTTTCCATCACGAAGGGCAAAACCCTAAAGAAACTCACGGTGGAAGAAAAGAGAATTTATTGACCTGCTTGAGCTGTCTCGGAGGACTGGGCTGTATCCAGCTTTGCCAAGGGTGTTGTCTGATCACTCTTGGTCTCTATTCTGTGGGTTGGCTTTCCTCCGTGGGACTTCCTGCTGAGGGGGGTGCTCCTGGCAGCAGCAGAGGGATCTGACCGCCCAGGGGTGGTGCGGTCTTAAGCACGCGGGGTCTTAGAAGAGCATAGTGATTTCTTTTTTCCTGGTTCTAGTTGATTCTCCTGGCACTGATCTCATCGGCTTGTTTAGACTCATAGGCTCATCTCCAAAGCAGCCTTTGTGTTTGTTTCTGGGTGTGAGGTGCCCTCGTTTGCCTGGCCTGGTCTGTGGCCCCCCTCTTGAAGTAGGGTAGAACGTGAGCAGTCCCCCTCAAACTGCGTCAACTGTGAGTCAGGGGCAGATGGCTTTCCCCAAGGAGAACCATCCTTTGGGGTCCTGTTCCCCCGAAAAGGAGGGGAAGGCAGGCCGAGCAGGTGAAAATGATACGTGCTCACCACTCTTGCTGATGAGAACGTGAACTCTCAGAGCCTGAGAATTGAGCCACAGCATCTTTGCGTCGGCAGCAGCCGGCTCCCACTTTTGTGGCAAGATGCTCAGTAACTGGGGAAGGAAGAGAGGAAAGGAGCCCCCAGCCACAGTCCAGGTGTCCTTCTCCCCAGGTCACCGTCCATCCCAGACGCTGTCTCTCACCTCCATCCCCATCAGGTCTTCACTGTCTTTCACCTCTGGGGCCCTTTGATCGTTGATCTCACTTTCCTCTTTGCCCCTCTTCCTTAATCCTTAAAGTGACAGTACGTTTTCTTTTTGCAATTGCATTTTTCAGTTCCAGTCTACACCCCATATTATTTTGTATTTGTTTCAGGTGTGCGTTTTCTCACCAAGACGTAACTCGGACCATGCCTGCCCCTTGCCCCAGCCCCCGAATTTCCAGCCCCGTCCGCCGCCTCAGTCACCATTCCCCACTCCGGATTTTTGCAGTACCTCCGACTGGCTGTGCAGTCCCAGGGTGTGGGCCTTCCTGCTGCACCCTCTGCTGACGTGCCTCTTTCTTCTTTCCTCAATGGACTTGTGTGTCACCTGTTTGTCACAGCCCGTGTATCGCTTCCTGTAGGGCTCTTCCCTGCCACTTCTGCAGCCCAGGGCGTTGTCTCTGCTCCCCAGCGCGTGTACCTTCATGAATCCTTCTCTCTGTTTATTATAGTGGTTTTCTTGTTGTCTACGTCTGTCTTCCTCACCCTCTGTACTACATACGGTGCCTGGCACCTAGGTGTTTAATTAGTTTGCTTGAGTGAATGAATGAATGAATGCACACAGTTAATTTAAAAAGCCAGTTCTATAATAATGCGTAGTGTGACTTGAATTTTGTTTTCACACACACGCACACACGCACGCACGCACACACACACACAGCCCTCCAGGGAGGTGGCATCTGGAAAGATTTGCAGGACTTGCGCAGAGATGCTGTCTCCCAGGGTCGGTAGGGAGAAAAACCTCGAGTGTCTCTAGTTCCCCATGTTACCGTACATGACCACGTATTCTTTCGTAATCAGGAGAAAAAAAATACCTTTAAGGAGTACCCTTAAAACAGGCAAACCCATGCCCTGGCTGGTGTAGCTCAGTGGATTGAGCACAGTCCTGCGAACCAGAGTGTTGCTGGTTTGATTCCAACCCAGGGCACATGCCTGGGTTGCAGGCCAGATCCCCAGTAGGGGGTGTTCTAGAGGCAAGCACATATGATGTTTCACTCCCTCTCTTTCTCCCTTTCTTCCCCATCTTTCTAAAATAAATAGATAAAATCTTTATAAAAAAACACCCAAAACAGGCCAACCCAGAAGATGCAATCAGTTCTCAAATCCTTACCGATATTTCCCAGATACGAGCCTTCCCATGCACGGCACACTCTGCGTTGTCAAGTGATCCCCGAGCCCGTCCAGCGGCTGTGTTGTGAAGGCGGCACACGAAGAATCAAACGCCCGAGGTTATCAGCCCCCTGTGCCGCGGACCCGCCACGTGCGGGCGGAGAGAAGCAAACTCAAATGCAAACAGAACAATGCTCAAGGCTTCTCTCTTAGCTTTCCACGGCAAACCCGACTCCGGGGTCTAATCGCTTTACGTGCACCTCCTAAGAAGGCTTGGTGCATCAACAAAACCTTAGGAAAGTAAATCTAGTCTCTTAAAAGGCGAAGAGGAACTTCTGTTTAGTGACATGGATACATAGACCGTTCAGACCTGCCATCGGGTCACCGGAAACAAGCCCTGGCCATGGGAATGCCAGCCCAGCTGCCAGTCAAATGAGACTCGGGGTGTCTGTTGAGTCACCCTCCCAGTGAGCCAGGGACTGTGCTTAGTGTCTTTATTTAAAAAAAAAGGAAAAACTGAGGCCCAGAGAGGTTTAAAGTTTTATTCGAGATTTATAAGGGAGAAGTGCCAAGACCAGGGTTTGAGCCGGGGCTGGCAGGTTCTGGGGTCTGAACTCGGAACTACTCTGCTTCTCCCCTCAATCTCTTGGGGCTCCTGGGATGTCTGTGCTTCCCTCCCCGCCACCACCGGCCCCCACCCCTCCCAGCTCCATTCCAACTGTGTCCTGGGTGGCTCCACTTGACCCACATTCATTAATGATTTACTTAAACAATTGTAGTTAGCTCCCCCTGGCCTATGCCAGGTAATGTTATTGGTACTAAAGATGAAGTTGCAAACAATAAAAGATTTCTGCCCTCTTTAAGCTTATTTCTTGAGGGGCAGGGAGGAGAGAGGAAGTAGAACTTTTTGTTTAAAGTGGAAAAAAAAGAAGAAAAAGTCAGAGGGAAGCTGGAGATAAAAAAGCGGGTGAGGGAGGTAGGGAATACCGTGCAGTGGCGGGCGGGGGGTGCACACAGTGTGACAGAACAGGAGGCCTCCTGGCGGAGGCGCTTGAACACAGAGCCGGTGGAGGTGTGGGAAGAATGTTCTGGAACAGGGAACAGCAAAGCCCCTAAGGTATGTTTGAGGAGGACAGACAGCACCCAAGGCTATGGTACCTGGAGCCAAGTGAGACCTGGGAGAGTAGAAAGAGATGAGATCACAGAGCAGCGGCCAGACTGTGTAGGAACTTGCTGTCTGATGAGAATGCCGGCCGTGACCCCGAGAGACGGGCAGTTGGGGGAGGGTTTGGAGCACAGGTGTGGCCGGAGGTGACCCGCCTTAATAAGCTCCTCTCTGCAGGAGCCTCGCTGTTCGTTCCCTCCTCCGATGGCCTGTCCTTTGTCTTATTCTTCAAATTCAAACCTTGCTGTCCTCAACATCTGTCCAGGACTTCCACCCCTCATTCAGGCTCTGGGCCCTGGCTGCCCCAAGTCTTCACAACCAACCCCCTGCCCCCGGGTTGTTTCCTCTTTCCAATGCCACCCACGTGATCTCAGGTTAGCCCCTCAGCTGTCTGCTTCTGCCAACTGACCATCATTCTCCTCGTCGGTGTCCTGCAGGCCCTCCCCAGTGTGTAAGAATTGTTCCTATGACCATGTCTGACCTGTCACTCCTTGCTTCATGCAGGTGGCTGGGTCTCTTTTGCCCCTAAGGTCAAGTGCAAACTCCTCAGCATATTTCGAGGTCATCGACTCTGTGCCCTCAGACTGCCTCTCTGATCTGCTCCCTACCTGTTGCCTGACACCATGTCCAACCTTGAACTATCACACAGAGTTTCTTGCCATGCCTGAGCCCGCCGGGTCCTCTCTCCCTCACGCTGCTGTGCCTCTGATGATTTCTGAACCCTCTTTTCCCTCTGCTGAGCACCTACTGACCCTTACAGACCTTGCTTAAACACTGCCTCTTCTGTGAAGTTACTGGGAAATCTTGCTTGTTCACCTTCCAGAAACAATGAGTCTGACCACTTCTCACTTCCTCTGCCCCATTCCCAGTAGCCACAGCTCCCATCATCTCTTTCTCCGGGGGCGGCTTGACCTCTGAACTTCTCCCCTCGGCCCCCACCTTCAGTGTGTTTTAACACAGCATCTGTAGTGCTCTTTTTAACACATAAATCAGCTCCTGACCCTCTCTTGCTGGCCCTTAGGTACATTGCCATCTTGTTTGGAGTGAGAGCCCGTGACCTTCCATTCACCTACAAAGCCCTGTGGGCCTGGCTCCTGACGGCTGCTGTCCCCGCATTTCCTGATCCTCGGGTCCTCTCTCCACCCCCCAACCTCTGGCAGCCTTGCTCTGCCCCGGGGAATACACCAAGCAGGCTCCTACCCTCAGGCCTTTGCACTTGGTGTTCTCTTGGCTGGACCTCTCTCCCTGCCCCACGTATCTGCGGGACTCTTGCATTCCTGTGTGAGTCGTCTCCATCAGAGCAGACTCGGGCCATTCTGGGGAAAGCAGCAAACCCCTGCACTCCTCCTGCCTGACTTACTTGGCTTTGTGTTTCCCCACAGCACTCGGTTCGGTCTCAAATGCTCTGTGTTTTACTAGATAAGCAAGCACACGCTAAATAAT